CACTGTTGTGGCCTCTCCCGTCGCGGAGCACAGGCTCCGGACGCGCAGGCTCAGCGGCCATGGCTCACGGGCCCAGCCGCCCCGCGGCATGTGGGATCTTCCCGGACCGGGGCACGAACCCGTGTCCCCTGCATCGGCAGGCGGACTCTCAACCACTGTGCCACAAGGGAAGCCCACAATGTTGGTTTTTTAAAAACTTTTAATTAAAATATGACACACACTTAGATCCTCAGTGTACAGCTCTGTGGATTTTCACAAATTGGACACCTGTGTCACCAGCACCAGATCAAGAAACAGAACACGACCAGACTTCCAGAAGGGCCTTCATTTCCCCTCCAGGGCAGCCACTGCCCTGGCTTCTAGAATCTACTGTTCTTTCACGCTGCATCCCTGTACCCCTTAGACTTTCTGACACTTGTATCCCGTCCCTTGGGGCATGCCACTCACCCTCTGTTATTTGGCCCTTTCCCAGGCCTCTGTCTGTCTGTCTCAGTCTGTATTGCAAATGCCACGCTCGCTTCTGCCAAGTCACTGTGTTGCCTTACACAAGATGCTTTCCCTCTCTGGATCTCCTTTTGCAAAACACTGTTGGGACACTGGGCTGAAGGATGATCCCTCATGTCCCCTCTGGGCCTGAGAGTGTGCGACTCATCAAGCCACACCTCCCACCCCATGTGTCTTTCACCAGCAGACCTCTCAGGCAAGGCCACATTGTCTGGTATTTTCAGGTAGGAGAGGAAGAAGGCTGGGACCCCTCTAAGCTGGTCTGTCCTGCGTTGTGGAACCGAGATGCATCTGTATCCTCCACAGAGAGAGGAGGAGGGGCTCAGCAGACTCTGGGGTGGAGGCTGAGAGCTGGCAGCGCCTGGGCCACATCTGGCCTGCAGACATCCTTTGCTAGTCCTGCAGCATTTTTACTTTGTTTTTTTTTGCCGGCAGAAGCAGGGTGGGGCTGGGCAGGCCTCCCCTTCCGGCAGGCGGGCATACTCTTTTCAGCCCACCCCATCCACACTTGCCCAAATCACCCATTTGTGCTGTCTGCCTGCTTCCTTAGGCTTTGAATTCATGACCCATATTATAAGGCGGTGATTTTTATTTCATACCCTAATCCTCTTTCTTCCAATAAAGTCTTACTCCACTGGACAGATAAGAGGTGCACCTCTGGCTGAAGCAGATGAGGGGTGTGGCACACAGGACCCCCTTCTTTGATGTCCCGGGGCCCCTACTGGTATCCTTTCCCATTTTAAAGATGGCGAACTGACCCCCAGGAGGGTAAAAGCGCTCTCCAAGTGTGACCCTCTCCTGTTGGGAGTTCGGGTGCAGAGGGTGTGTTAGCCTTTTCTGACTGGTGCGGAAACTGAGGCCAGAAAGGTGGCCCGAGGTCCCCGCGGGCCACTGCAGGCCCGGCCTCCGCACCCCAGTCTTCTCCCTTGGCGGCGCGGGGCTGCCGTTGCCACACACGTGCCCTCTCTTTGGTTCACAGGTGGGCATTCTCTCTGGCCTCCGCTTAACATTCTGGGGTCCCGGACCCTGCCTCTCTCCCCCCCAGATCAAGGCTGAAGACTCCAGCAGTGACTCAGCCCCAGCGGCACCCCTGCCCCCCCAGCCGGTTCAGCCGCATCTGCCCCAGGCCCAACTCATGTTGACGGGCAGCCAGCTAGCCGGGGTAAGTACTTGGGGTGCACGGAGGCAGGGACGGGCCAGCCCCCTCCCGTCTGTTACAGGACTGGTGGCCACGGCCACGGCCACTCTCTGAACGCCTGCCTCTCGCCCTCCTCTCTCCTCCTGGAAGACCTGCCCCCTAACCCGCTTGGCTCAGGCGCTAACCCCTGTCTGCTTTCTCTGCTCCCCCCACGCCCCTCCTCCGGCCCCTGCCGCCCCGCCCCCGCCCCGCCCCGCCCCGCCCCGCCCCGCCCCGGGGCACTCAGCGTCCTCCCTCCAGGCAGTTCTGACCGAGCTGGAGCCCCTCCCATTCCCCCCTCCTCCTGTTTCCGGGCCCCGCCCTGGCTCCCTCCTAGCCAAGGCCCCACCCAGCAGGCGCGTCCCCAGGGTGGGGCGTGGGCTGGAGCAGACATGCAGGCACTTCCTACCCCGCCACGTGGCTTCCAAGACCATCTCTGTGATCCAGATGAAGAAATAGGCCCTGTGGGCTGGAGGTGGAGGACTGGGCGGCTGCTCCAGTGGGGCTGGCCCCGGGAGGTGTTGCCCTGACGCAGCCGGGAGGCTGACCACAGCCCGGCAGGTGCTTTCCACGTCGTGCTGGGCGGAGGGGACCAGACGGGACAGCAGTGCCCTTGGGGACACCCAGCCCAGCATGGAAGCCGGGGCTGAGACATCGCCTTTGTTCTGCCAGCTCCCAGAGCAGTGTGGAGCCTCCCTGGGCTCAGGTTTCCCGGGACCCACTGCCCTGGGTCTGGGGCTCTTGCACAGAACCGAGGGCTGAGCTGCGGCCCCGTCTGGGGAGCCGCCATGGTGGGAGGAGGGGCGGGTGGAGGCAGTCGGCATGGACACAGGCCAGCAGAGCAGAGGCCGCCCTTCTGGCCTCTGGGCGGCTCTTCCCGTCCTGCCAGCCTGACGCCAGGCCTCCAGCCAGGTCGGCCAGTGGTCCTCCGGCCCCTGCCGCCCCGCCCCCGCCCCGCCCCGCCCCGCCCACAGCTCACGGCGCTGATGCCAGCTCAGCAGCAGCTCCTCCTGCAGCAAGCGCAGGCCCAGCTCCTGGCCGCCGCGGCCGCCGCCGCCTCCTCCTCCTCCTCCTCCTCTTCCTCCTCCTCCTCGACCTCGCAGCCCCCAACCTCCTCCGGGGGAGGCGACCTGCCGCCACCACAGCCTGCCAGCCAGCCCCCCGGGACCCCACAGCTCACCCTGTCCCAACCCATCCAGCTCACAGCACAGGTAAGGGCAGCCCCGGGGAGCACACGCCCTCCAGCGGAGGCCCCGCGGAAGCCGAGCCGGTGCAGGGGGCTGGCCGGTCCACGCGGACCGTTCTGACCACCAGCGCTGGGCCAGGCGGTCCCCGGCAACCCCAGGAAGCCTCGGGAGATGCTGCCACCCATCTCTCAGAGGGGTAAAGCGAGGCTCAGGGGGAGGACACCCTCCACGCGATGGGCGCGCCTGACTCTCTGCTTTCTGTGCATCTCGCTGAGGGTCCACAGCCACCTGGGAGGCTGACACATTATTAACCTCAGTTTACAGCAGAGGAAACCAGGGGTCACCTCCACGCACAGGACCTGTGTGGCTACAGAAGAAAGGCTGAGAATCAGAATCGGTGCCCCACATCGAGTGCCCTGGCTCATCCAGTGAGACGCTCTTTCAGAAAGGGGCCTGTGGTCTGTGAGTTAGGAAACACTGCATTCTCTCTCCCCATTCTGGAGACTTCTGGTCTACGTGGAATCATGCATGAGTGGCTGTATTAGCTTCCAGGGCTGCCATAACAAAGTATCACAAACTGGGTGGCTTAAAACAACAGAAATGTATCATCTCAGACCAGAAGTCCAAAATCAAGGTGTCAGCAGAGCTGGGGTCTCTCTCGAGGCTCTACGGGAGAATCCCTCTTTGCCTCTTCTCGCTTCTGGTGGTGCAGGAAACCGTTGGCTTTCTCGTAGATGGATGACTCCAGTCTCTGCCTCTGTCGTCATGTGGCCATCTTTTCTCTGAGTGTGTCTGTCTCTGTGTCCAAATTTCCCCTTCTTATAAGGACACCAGTCATTGGATTAGGGTCCACCCTAATGACCTCCTTTTAACTTGATTACATCTGCAAAGACCTCGTTTCCAAACAAGGTCATATTTATAGGCACCAGGGGTTAGAACTCCTACCATTTCTTTTTCTTTCTTTCTTTCTTTTTTAATGGCCGCACCTCGCGGCATGTGGGATCTTAGCTCCCCGACAAGGGATCGAACCCGTGCCCCCTGCAGTGGAAGCATGGAGTCTTAGCCACTGGACCACCAGGGAAGTCCCCTACCAGATCTTTTTAGGGGACACAATTCAACCATGATATTGGCCAACAGACTTCCCATAAGGATGGTTGGCAGGAGCAGAGTAGAGGCTGGGCAGGCGTCCTCTTCCGACAGGCTGCTTTTTCCAGCCCACCCCTTCCTTCCACCCCTGCCATGTCACCCATTTGTGCTGTTAACCTGGTTTCCATAGAGCGTTTGAGTCTGTGGCCCGCGTTCCAGCGCAGTGAAGGGCCTGGCAAGTCCTACAGCGAGGGATTGGCCTATGCTGTCTACACCAGGGAGCTGTCCAGCACCTGCGAGGCTGTTCCCTTGACAGCGGTCGGCCTTCGATGGGCCCGTTCCACTGCTGACCAGCGCTCCCATTTGGGGCTGTCCTTAACACTGAGTGCATCTCTGTCTCCTTAGAGCTTCCTGCCGCTGGGCCTGGCTCTGCAGAAACGCAGAGCAATCTGGCCTCGCTGCTTTGCAGCGACTCTTCCAAACAGATCCTCCCAATGCCTGGCTTGCCACCGTTGCCATAGGTAGTCTGTCAGGTGCTGCCTTTGTACCAGGCACTATGCTAACGTGACCTCCCTGAATCCACAAATCCTCATCCTGGCCAAGGCGCCGGTTGGGGGGTGGGGGGCGGGAGGAGCGGGCGTGCAGGGGAGGCAAAGTGATTTGCCTGCCCCAAGTCACACCGTGAGCTCAAGTGGCAGAGCCAGCCTGGAAGCCAGGCCTGGGAGTCCAGGGCTCTAACCACGTGATCTGGGGCTGCTGCCCCTAACTGGCACCCCTCCCACCCCGGCCACCAGAGACCCCAGCAGCCGGTGATCTGTTTGCTTTGTAGCACACACGGCTCTTCACTGAGCAAGGTGGAGGCTCAGGGCTCCTCCAGTCTTGGTGTTCCTGCTCCTGTTCTCCTTTCTACCTGGAAGTCAGCCCCCTCCCTTTACCTGGAGAGCTCCTCTCCATCCTTTAAGCCCCAGCTTGGGAGCCTGAACCTCCAGGAAGTCTTCCATGACTTCCCTCCCTCCAGCTGGTTTGATTTCCTGCCTCCTGCCTCCTCTGGGGGCCCCCAGCCCATTGCCTCTCCTTCTGCCACAGCCCTGATCACGCAGGGCCGTGTCCACACATGCCCTCGGAAATGTCTGTTGAAGGAGCACAGGCTACAGGGAGGGAGGAGGGACAGGGCAGCCTAGCGCAGACCCAGCCAGGCCCTCAGCCCCTGTGACCAGCAGGCACTCCTTCTCTTCATACACCCCCCCCAGAACCACCTCTTCCGGACCCCCTACGGACACCAGCAGCAGCAGGCCGACCCTCTGCCACCTGTAACCTGCCCAGGCACTGATTCTCAAGGTCCCCTCGAATCCCTCCTGCCCAGCCCTTTCCTCTCTCTACTCCTGCCCCAGCTTCCCTCAGCTCTGACCTCCATCTGTCTCCTGCAAGTGCAAAGCTGGGCTGAAGCTGTTTTCTGGGAGTTCTGTCACCCTGTGATCTCACTTCCCCAACAGACCAATGTTTATCTAGTACAGCCCATGAGCCGGTCACCATACTGCGCCCAGGCCGTGGTGGGGACCACCGTCCTTCTGCCCTCGCTGCCCGCTGCAGCCACAGCCGGCCTCGGCCCTGGGCTTGACCCTCTCCCCAGCCTGTGTCGCGTGCCTGCCAGTGCAACTGCCTGTTCCTGCCCAGCTCTGTCCTGCCCTCGTTTCGCAGACACTTCCCGCCTCCTGGGTCAGGCCCTGGTGGGAAGCAGGCATGACTCAGACCCAGCCTTGTCCCCAGAGGGGCTCCCTGTCTTGTAGGGAAACAGACACACCAATGAGCCACTAAGAAATGCTTTACTTGAAAAATAATACGAAAGTCAAAAAGCATCCATAACCCTATCACTTTAAAATTATATAAAGTACGAAGGGAAAGTCCCCCTTCTGTCCGTCTATTGCCAACTTCCAAAGGAATGTCGGTCAGTTTGGCAGGAACCTTCCCTGCATTTCCCTAGCCTGTACAGAAGGGACAGTTATAATACAATTTTACCACTGACTTTTTTTTTTTTGGCTGTGCCCCTCGCCTTGTGGGATCTTAGTTCCCTGACCAGGGATCGAACCCGGGCCCTCGGCAGTGAAAGCACAGTCCTAACCACTGGACCGCCAGGGAAGTCCCTATAATGCAGGTTTACAATTTGTGTGTCCAACACTCAACTCAGCATGATGCTTTCTACCGAGGGGGCCACACAGACGTTTACTGAATCAATGAGGGATGTTTTGCTGCAGCTTTTCAATCAAGGGTAGGGAAGACATCTCTCCAGGGGAGTAATTCAGAATGCCTGGGGTAGGGTAGGCATTGACTGAAAATTTACATTAACTGTTAAAACATCATTTTGTATTTGGAGAACGGCGGCGGCGGCGGCGGTGGGGGCGGGGAGGAACGTCCCTATTTTCGTAATATGACCACGGCAAATAAAGCTTGAGAAGATCTTTCAGGGGAGTAGGACCTAGTGAAGAAGGGTTTCCCAGATAAACCTGCTGGATGTGGTGGGGGTGCGGGAAAAGAAAGGGGTCTGTGTCTGAGGGAGTCAGGGAAGGCTTACTGGAGGAGGTGGTATCTGAACCGAGGCGGGGAACAAGTAGGAGTTTACCAGGTGGATGAGCCTGGGGAAAGGGTTCCAGGCGTGGGACTGGCGAAGGCAAAGCGAGAGAGCAGGGCAGGCTTGGGGAGGTGAGGGGTGGGAGG